AATAATTTATATTAATTAAAATATAATATAAATAAATAAAAAAACAGAAAATAAAATAAATAATATATATTAATTAAAATTTTCTTTAAATAATAATAAAATAAAAAGTAATAATAACAAAAGAAAAAAAAAACACAAAAAACCATAAAAAAATCATCTTGAAGCCTACTTAGGGATGCCAATGGTAACCCATAGAGGTGCCGTTAGCCTCCCCATATTTTAGCATTTTCGCGAACACCGGAGGAATGTATAAGACATCGAGAAGTACCTATTTTTATGACATGTGTCCCACATGTACTTTCGCAACGTTGGAAGAACTGTTTGGTGAAAGTACGGGTCATTTGTGCAAATACTAGGAAAAGTGGTAATTTCCTTAAATACAACATGGTATTTTGGTCATTTGTGTTATTTTCCGACGCTAAATACGTTACTTCCATACCTTGGTAAGGCCAAGAAGAGCGGTCTTAGTGACGCCATACATAGACATGGAAGACGGAGGTTGGTAAGCAGCGATAGAAGAAATGAATACGATGGACGAACCTTTAGTTAAGTGAGGGGATGCATCCTGTCACGAAATAATTCATTTGAACGATGAAAACAAGACTTGCGAGTCACGAAATAATTCATTTCGTTTTAAAGAAAAAGAGATACATTGAAGTCAACCATGGTGCCATTTTGATATAAAAAAAAAAAACTTTACCTGAAGAAGTAATATAGAAGTTTTGACATTGACTTCCCAAAGCTTGTCAAGGGTCGATTCGTGGGAGTCGAGAATGGCATCAACTGACGGATTCACAGCGGCATTCGACACTATTACGTCTATTTTACCATATTTCTGTCTCCATAAAGATAAATGCTATAAGACAAAGCAACATAATCGACTTGAAAAGGAAACACAAGCATATATGTGTGTGTGTGTGTAAAAACATGAAACAAGACTAAGGGGCTGTTTGGTTGGTTTTCCAATAAGTCATGAATGGACAAAGCTGTTGGTGTAGATTCATCTATTTATATAGATTGAGAAGGTTTTTGTTTAGGATGGTTTTTTAATAGATGGAAGAAACGTTGTGTAGTTGGGAGGGACATGTTTGAAAAAAACTTGACTTTCTGCATAGAGCTCCCTCCTAGAAGCTTACTGAATAAGTCACTTTCTATATCATACAGTCATGTATAGCTGACTGAATAAGCTCCAAGTCCTATTAAGCTCATTAATCTGCTAACAAACAAACAAACAAACAAACAAACCCTAAGGGTGTTTAACGACACTAATTGGGTAACTGCTAACATCATAAGAGTGCAGTTTGGAGCAGCACTAATCATTGACCGAAGTCCCACCCTTAGGTTACCGGGTCAGAATCTTGGTCAACATCATGAACAAGTAAGAGGGTCTTGGTAAACACGGTAAGTGCCTCTTACCGGGTAAGAGGCGGTAGGCAGGTAGTAAATGAAGCTCTAACATGGAAGCTTAAGGGGCTGTTTGGCAGTTGCTGAATGGTTTGGTGCAGAATGGTTAAGTGCTGAATGAAATAATGTTGTTTGGTAACTGTTTTCTGAATGACAATAAATTACCATTTTAACCCTCTGAATGATTTAGTAGTGAATGAAATAGAGCTGTTTGGCAGATATCTGAATAAAACAATTATTTTGCAAATATAACTACATATTTCATATTAATCCAAACAAACGTAACATTATTAGTTCAAAACAATAATTGATTTATTAATGAACATCTCTTCTTATCTCAAAGAAACATAAGCATACCATTTTATAAAATCTGTTACTAATGAACATCTCTTCTTATTTTTCTTACCATAAACTTTAATTTTCATCGATACCCAAACCATGTAATCCTTCTTATATGTCTCAAATTCGAATTGGGTTTAAAAAAAAAAAAAGATAAAATGAAACTAATAAAAAAATAGAAAGACAAAAAATGGACACCAAGTTTTTTGACTTCTTTTTCCACACAAATACGTGTTTGATCCTGATTCCCCTTCAAAATGGCCCAATTTCAGCGTTAACTACAAAAATTCAATACTACTCTCAACATCAATTAATGAAGTAAGAACCAGTAGAAAGAACCATTAATGAAGTAAAACCAGTAGCAAGAACAGTAGGAAAAACAGCAGCAAGAACCA